TCGTGGCGGGCTGAGAAGATTTTCCCGGGACAAAGGCCTCAAACACAGATTCCAGAATGGTATCCTAGGTCTACTTCTCAATTGGTAAGCAAGACCACCATTTCTATAACCCAGACGTCCAAGTGAGGTACCAGGCCGCCCTCAGGGGCCCAGACGACCTTCCCTGGCCCCAAAGGCCCTCCCAGGACCCAGACATCCGTCCGGGGCCCAGACCAACCTCCTGGTCGCAGACCATTGTGGCGAGGACCAGAAGGACGTTCCTGGGACCCATACTGGCAGCCAGTGCCTATTCCTTAATTGGAGGCCAATTAACCAGGCTAATCCTATCCAGCTTTTCATCATCTCGAGTTCCTGCCCTTGCCCCAAAGCTCACACCTGGGCCCATAGCGCCTCCTAGTGACCACACCATGCCTGAGCACCCAGACCTACATCCGGGACCCAGAACTTCATGGCAGGGCTTAGTAGCCCCACCTGGGGTCCAGGCCACAAACCTGGAACACAGAGTTGTATCAGGGGAAGAGACCTCTATGTGTAACCCAAACAACTATTCCATAACCCAGATGTCCAGGTGAGGTGCCAGACTGCCCCGGAGGCTCAGACTTTCCTCTGGGCCCGAACAGCCCTCAAAGGGCCCAGAGCTCCACTGGGGCTCACACCCACATCTGGGACCCAGATTATCATGGCGGGCCGGGAAGACTTTCCTGGGACAAAGGCCTCAAACACAGATTCCAGACTTGGATCCTGGGTGTACTTCTCAATTTGGAAGCAAGACCACCATTTCCATAACCCAGAGGTCCAGGTGAAGTACCAGGCTGCCCCCAGGGTCCCAGACGTCCCGCCCTGGACCCAAAAGCTCTCCCAGGAACCAGTCATCCGTCCGGGGCCCAGACCAACCTCCTGGTCGCAGACCATTGTGGGAGACCAGAAGGCCGTTCCTGGGACCCATACTGGCAGCCAGTGCTATTCCTTAATTGGAGGCCGATTAACCAGGCTAATCCTACCCAGCTTTTCATCATCCCGAGGTCCTGCCCTTGCCCCAAAGCTCACACCTGGGCCCATAGCGCCTCCTAGTGACCACACCATGCCTGGGCACTCAGACCTACATCTGGGGCTCAGACCTATATCCGGGTCCTGAATATAGGTGATTCTAAAACTATTAAACCCACCGTTAAGGACAATTAAATTTATTTTTCTGTAAGAGTCTACAAGGAAAAAATCTAATTTTAGGGAATATTTGTCAATACCAATAGATCTTTCTCCTATTTTATATCCTGATCTTAATTATGTTTCTATTGTTTTAAACATTTTAAAAACACCAACTTGTTTTAAAGTATCTAACAAGAGAATTAAATCAGATTACAATAAAATGTATTTTCCCATTTTATTCTCTTCTCCTTGAGATATCCTCCCACTGGTATTATTGATTACTACTAGTTAAAAGCTCTTGTTTGTGGCTTACATATAAAAATATGCAATGCCCATGAATATAACTAACGACTTCAATGATACAAAACCTGAGAATCCTTCCAGTACACCTGCATCTTCTCTTAAAAATGGTGAACCATGATTTGTATTGTTGTCACCTATATTCAATCTAACCAACAGTATAAAAAAAAAAAAATGCCGAAACCGGTTTGGCTCAATGGATAGAGTGTCGGCTTGGGGACTGAAAGGTCCCGGATTCGATTCCGGTCAAGGGCATGTACCTTGGTTGCGGGCATATCCCCAGTAGGGGGTGTGCAAGAGGCAGCTGATCGATGACTCTCTCCCATCGACGTTTCTAACTCTCTCTCTCTCCCTTCCTCTCTGTACAAAATCAATAAAATATATTTTTTTAAAAAATAATAAAATAAATAAATAAATAACATAAAATAAAAAATTATCTAAAATACTCTGTACCTTTCCTTGGAAGTCACCTGATTTTTTCATTTTGTGTGTGTATATCTTTATCTTCCTGGTTGCTCTTCTTAATACTAGGAAGATGTTAATATCTATTTGTATGCCCTGGACTTAAGTTAATAGAGCAGCGGGGGAGTTTTCAGAGAGAGTGTCCATTAAAGAATGGAAGCTGGACTAGGATGAAAAATTGGCAGCAGCCTGACAAGGGCCTTCAAGGCAGGAATGCATCGAGCTCCTCAAAAAAAGGAAGTTCAAATGCATACCGACAGTTCCCTGACTTCTTGAACTTTCTTACATTGTCTTTTTTCCCCTCTCACTACTCCAATGCCCTCCACTTAGTTGGTCATATACCGTTGCCTCTCTACCTTTCCTTTTTCTATTCACCTTTCATCACAATCTCAACTTCCAGCTTCCACGTCCTTCTTGGATTAACAATTGTCTTTCCTCACAGGTTTAGCACATTCTAGAGCTGATTTGCCAGTTTAGCATAGGCTTACGGCCCAGGATACTTTAGAGGAGGGGTGGGGAACGCCAGGCCTGTGGGACATAAAACACCCTGGAAATCATCTCTGGCCCTGCCGAGGCATTCGGGGTGACTGAATTAAATGTCTGACCAAAAATAGCAGGCTAATTTTTTAAGTTGGTAATTTTGTATGGCCTGTGAATGGGGTTATAAATATCCAAATGACCCTTGACAGAAAAAAGTTTCCCCACCCGTGCTGTAGAGGTACAAAAAAGTGTTTAATTTTAATTTCTTTTGAAATCAGAAGAAAAAAATGAATGCAATAATGTTAAACACATAATAATGAATTATGTTTATCTTTATATCAATGCAATTATAATTCTTACAATAATTAGATTACTAATGGAGAAATGTACCCAACAAAGGTAACATTTTCTAGGGCCCACCTAAGTCATAACGGGCCCTGAGTTCCTCTGAATCAGCTCAGCCTTCCATTCCTCCCCACTAGCCTCAGGGGGAACACCTAGGCCAGAGATAACTGTATGAGTATTTATTTCAAAATCTGATTTAGCCAAAACCGGTTTGGCTCAGTGGATAGAGTGTCTGCCTGCGGACTGAAGGGTCCCGGGTTCGATTCCGGTTAAGGGCATGTACCTTGGTTGCGGGCACATCCCTGGTGGGGGGGCGTGCAGGAGGCAGCTGGTTGATGATTCTCTCTCATCAATGTTTCTAACTTTGTCCCTCTCTCTTCCTCTCTGTAAAAAAATCAATAAAATATATTTTTTTTTTAAAACCTGATTTATGGTGATGGTTGCATAACTCACTACATTTATTGAAAATTATCACATGGTCACTTGAAATACAGTGAATTTTATGGTATGTAAAATATAACTCATGAAAATTATTAAAAAGGATATAGAACAAAAAAGAAAAGCAAAAACACGGTTGCATCTAAAGACACAAAAAGATAAATTTCAGATTACTATATTTTTTTAAAATTCAAAATATTGTCCATAAAATTGTGCTATAATAATGAGAGTTAAAATTTTATGTACCCTAAATATAAACAATATAACAAACATGGAGAAAGAATAGTGACAACAAAAATGCCAAAACATTCTGTATGGGAAATAATTATTTAAGTTTGGTGCTTAAAAAAAAAAAAAAAAAAAAAAAAAAAAAAAAAAAAAACTAACTCATTGTAATGGTAATTATGAGAGTCTGGTTGCAATTAAGTACAGGAAGGATATTAAAACTTCCAATAGATATTTCTGTAAGCCACAACAGAAGAATAAGAGCAACAGAATAATTGGAACCACATCCCAAACCACTTCCTTGTTATTTACCAATATTATCTACTAAAGATTACTGTTTAGATGCTGATGTTAGACAATCTTCAGTTGACAACTTTAAATCATATTAAGACTAAAAAAAAAAAATCAAAGAATTTTATGAAAAGGGTTAAAAGTTTATAGCCATGAAACTCCAAAAAAATTGATGCCCACTAAAAACCACATCCCGGCCACTGTCATATCTGTACAATATAATGGTTTTGTTGTGGTTGAGGCAATCATTTCTGAGTTAATAAGTAGCTAGTATTCAACTATTCAAATCAGTGTAATTTTTATATTGTACATTAGATCACGTTTAAGAGAGGAAGTACAAAATTTCATTTTTAGCAACTGATGTTAAACGTTACAAACATTCAGTTCTATAATGTAATCAACATGAGTAGAAAAGTATGTTTTTTTTACCACTCTATGAAATCACAGGCATTCTTCAGGCAGATTAAATTAAGTGCTAATATAATCTACTTAATGCAGGTGAATATTTATATAAAAAAGAAATGAATACGGTTTTTAAGGGAGAAGTTTCCTATTATGTTATTTGTAAACTATCTGGAAATAGCACTTCTCATTTTCATAAAGCAAATTTTAATTATTTTGTGGTTTGGTTTTTGGATCTGGAGTATGTGAATGTTAAATGAAAAGTCTAAGTGAAGTTAGTCAAGATTTCTATATTATGAAAAGTTATAATAATTATGATGAAATCACTGCCAATAACCAACTTTTTCATCTCAGCACATTTATAACACTAAAATATTTTTATAACGTAATAAAATTAATACTAGTCATCGTCAGAATACTTTCAATTTACAAAGAATTTTTTATTTCCTCTATTGAATTAGATGCTTAAAACAACACAGTATATTAGTATACTGAACATTGGTGGTTGGTTCCCCAATGTCCATTTCCCCTTCCTCTGACCAAAAAAAATAACCACACCTTTCTTTGGGGAAAATCAGGCCCAATTGTCGGCCAGGCCGAAGGACCCCAACCATGCACGATTTTGTGCACCAGGCCTCTAGTGAGACAATAAAATAGAAACACTTAAACTCTTATAATAGATCTATTACAATAAAAACTGTCTCTGAAATCTAGTTCAGTGGCAATGTCTACATACAATAAAATTTTTGTGGTTATTATAACAACAATTAAATACATTAAAAAAAATAGCTTTTCAGTTTTTCTGTTTTGTTTTCTATTTTTTCAAATGTGATCACTGTATGTAGAATGAAAAAGTATAACCCAGCTACATGCTTTTACTAGACTATCTAAAATGATATTTGGATTGGTACCTGAGATGACAGTAGGTTACAATCAATGAACAGTCCTTTTCCAGTTTTGTATCTTTGTATCAATCCAGCCATAATGGCTCCACATGCATACAGGCCAGTGGCAAGATCAGTCATGGCCACTCCTGGACGAACTGGATCTCCATCCTGATTTAAGCATTGGGTTGAGAAAAACAGAGAAATTTAAGAATTAAAACCATCATATGATTTCTCAAGTATTCTAAGGTCAAATAGAAGAAAAAGTTGTATATGCAAACACACACTAAAGAAATACAACAAACTACTACAAACATCATGTGGTAAGAATATATTTATATTTACTGTATATTTGCTGAATTTCTTGCTCTATCCCCTACCAACCAAAGCCAAACCAAATAAAATAAAAATTTTATATACATCTTAAGTTCTTTTAAATATATTTTACCTTGTTTATATTTTACTAAATTTTAATTCTAAAAATTGTTAGAAGAATGACTTATTTATTTTTTATAGTCTCTTAGAAACCACTTTAAATGTATTTATCTCTTTTAATACATTAATGAAACTCTTTTGTCAGAACAATCCTTGGTGATTTTCTTGTAAAACTATGGCATAAAAAAGGGAAGTTTTTTCTCAAGACTTACAATATACAATTACAGTGGGAGGCAGCTGATCAATGTTTCTCTCTCATTGATGTTTCTGACTCTCTATCCCTCCCCCTTCCTCTCTGCAAAAAATCAATAAAATATATTTTTAAAAAGAAAAGAGTGTTATTTCCTACTAGAGGCTTGATACATGAAGATTCATACAAGAATGGGCTTTCCTTCCCCTGGCTGCTGGCACCACCTTCGCTCCGGCCAAAACTGCCTTTCCACTTTCCTACGCTGCCCAGAGGCCTGGAGTGGCTGAGGTGGTGCAGAACGCCTGCGTCCCACCCCACCCCCAGCCACTTGACACCCATGTATGCAAATTGACCTGCCATTTTTTTGTCTTGGGTTAATTTGCATACTCACTCCTGATTGGCTGGTGAGTGTTGCAGAGGTATGGTCAATTAGCATGTTACTCTTTTATTAGGTAATTGAGGCCATATTCACAACTAGGGCATATAGATATTTTCAGTAAGTCATTCACTTTCCTTGGATTCTTTCTAAAATTAACTCAATTTTAATAGGTTAGTAAAGACTGAAAATCCCGTTGGAACACCTGGTGAAAATTATGAATAATCTTAAGAAGGATACCTACCTCAGGGCCTGTGATGTGCATCAGACCAGAGACAGCAGAGGCCACAGCATCATAACCAGCTCGCTGAGACAGTGGACCTGTCTGGCCATACCCTACCACAATGAGAACAGACATAGCATCACGTAAGGAGAGCAGCAGTACAATGGTGTGTTTAAAACCATTCATATCCAGAAATCCTGCAGCATTCTGTTACTATTGCCATCAACACTGTCCCTTGAAGAAGGTAATAAAAATTAAGTATGGTGGTGTACCCCAATAGGCAGCAAACTGGTGGCTATACACCTGTGTAAATGTTTTAGTCTAGTCTGAAGAGTGTTTTCAAATGTTTTTATTTAGTGTAGAATATTTAAAAATCAGAAGATAGCACACAAAAAATAAAAAATTTCTGGCTTTCTCTGAAAAATCAGAAAATAAAAACTAGGCCCATGTTTTCACATGGCAGCAATAAGAGTTAAATAACATTTTCCCATTTACACAGGGCATAAATTCTCCAATTTGCCAGTCTCCACCACTCACTCCTTTATGCCTCAGCCTGTTTCACTCATTCACCTTACCTTCTAGACTCCAATAGGTATTTGCTATTATTGTTCTATACCAAACAATATGCAGAGTGAAGAAAAAAACAATATCTCCCCAGGTTCTGTTTGCTTATTCTCTCAAGTATACAAAAAAATGTAAAAGTGATTAAAAATCTGAGCATGAATAAAATGATAACATCTCCTAACAGTGATAGATCAATATTCCTGATAAACATAGAAGCAAAAAAATCTTTAAAGAAATATTAGTAAACTGAATCCAGCAATACACTAAAGAGATCATACATCATGATCAAGTAGAATTTATTCCTGGGATGCGGGTTGATACAATACCCTCAAATGAATTAACCTGATAAACCACATAAATGTCCATGCAGAAATGAGTGCCAAGCTTTAGGATGAATTTAGATTCTAGAACAGCTAGCTCACAGGGGTAAAGGGCCCCCTACACCACGCTTCCAGTCTGGAAGCCCTGGTGTCCCAGGCATAAGACAGGCCTCCAGGAGCAGAGAGAAATCCCTCCAACACGGCAGGAACACTGGCGGGTTGCTCTTTAAAACCTGGTATCCCAACCGTAAAGCAAGAGACGGAATTAAGGGCCAGTCTGCTCCAGGGAGGGAAAATCAGGTGCTCAGGCTTCTGGCCAAGACCCTAATCCATCAAATGACTAACGGAAACCCTCACCAGCACAACTCCAAATGGAGTCTTCCAAACCAGGGCCCACCTAAAACACTCAGAAAACAGCTTGTTAAGGAAAAGCGCACTGTAGTGCTTGCCTTGCAATGCAAGTTCTAACTTCCAAGTATTTCTATTAAAGAGAAAAATAAAGGAATGCTTGTGAAGGCAGGGAGTATGGCATGATGAATAAGAGGATGAGTTTTAGGAATGAAAACACTTGGATTCAAATTATAACTCTGCAAAGGGACTATATTTTCGACAATTCCTTTAACCTCCCTGAACCTCTGTGACAATAGTCACATGTATCTCATAGATTTATTATGAGAATTCAAGTTAATAAAACAGTATAAACAAAATACACTTTAGTAGGAGAGCTAAATATACTTAGTTATAGTAAATTTTCATTGATTAATATGCTAATAATATAGTAGCTTGCCCTTTCCACAAAATATTGAGAAAACAAAACCTGCCTTGAGGTACGATGAAACGATAAGAATAAATAGTCTAAGCGCTGCAATTATGTTGTTTAATAACCCATTCAAATCGAAAGTTTTTGTACTTGTTCATTTTTGAAAAAATGATAATAATAAAAATATATTATATATTTTGTAGTATGAATCAAAAGTTATCCTATCTTTTTGCATTATATCTACCTTAACTACCAGAACTATCAACACATAATTATGACAATAAATAGGAAATTTTAAAGCAGAGAACTGACATTACCTAAATGGTAGTTTGCAAAGATTACTCTGTTGGCAATGTGAGGAATGAATTATTTATTAATAATTTAATAAAGAGCTGAAAAAATGATAAGCTTGGGAGCCAGATAGTTCTTTTTAATTGTAAAGTTTATGATCCAGAAACAACCATGATCAAAATCAAAATTAAAGAGGAAATATTTAAGCATGTCAGTTCTAGTTTATAATCAAGTAAGGAGATAAGAAAACTGAAAGATTACAGAAAATCAGAGAAACACTTCTCCCTCTCCCTCTCTCTTACCCTCTTCCTTCTCCTTCTCTAACTCCCTCCTCTCTTTCTCTCTCTCTCCTTCCTCCTCACCCCCTTCCAATCCCTCAGGTGCTCACATTTATTTTAAGGAGCAACCTCGCCATCTTGTGGCTTTTATGAACATTTAATACAGAGCAAAACGAATTTCTAGACTTATAAGTAAAAATGCAAGGGAAGGAAGCTAAAGGGAAAATATATTTTATTCTTTTTCTAATATATCTTTATTGATTTCAGAGAGGAAGAGAGATATAGAAACATCAACAATGAGAATCATTGATTGGCTGCCTCCTACATGCCCCCTACTGAGAACCAAGCCCACAAACTGGGCATGTGCCCAGACAAGAACCAAACCATGACCTCCTGCTTCTCAGGTCGATGCTCAACCACTGAGCCATGCCAGCCAGGCCAAGACATTTTATCTTTTAATGTTCCCTGAACACCAGATGATGTGACCTGCCCACTTCTGGTTTCACTCATTTTTCTTGTGTCTGTGTTTTCTTTGTCTCCTTAACTTACGAGCTCTTAAAAGCAGAAGTTTCATTGGTGCTTTTGTTTTCTGTAATGCCTATGACACCTCCTCCTACAGCTCTCAACACTCTGCCTATCAGTCATTGGTTAATCTTTTAGAGGTCAAAGGTCCCTCTGACAAACTGGTAAGAAGCTATACATCCTTCCTAGAATAAAGTAATTGAACATACGTTTACACTCCTAAAACCCCATTCGTGAGCCCAGAGCTAAAAACCTGGTTAAAGACCCTCAGTTGGTAATCACTGCTTGTTTCCTCTCTCTCCAGGCCCACAGCACCTAGATTATCAGCACAATTCTCCTGAGGGACATCAATTCAAGGACGCCTTGGAGACATCCATGCAACGAGGAGCTTCAAAATGGGGCTTCGGCCCAAAAACAGGAGAACAAAGTAAGTAAAGTCCCAACTAGACTGTTTCATTAGCCACCTGTTTCTGACCTCCCTTCCTCACACTGGCCTCTTCTAAGCAGAGTGATCTTCCTAAAACGTAAATCAGAGCGCGCTACTCTCCTGCCTAAAGCTTTCTAAAGGCTTTTCCAAGTCACCTAGAGTCAATCTGAGCTACTTATCCTGGCTTACAGGGTCCTTCATGACTTGGTTGCTATCTTCTCTCTGTCTCTCATCATTTTCCCACTGCCCTCTACCTCGATTTCCTTTGGCCTTCTTTCTGTTCTCTAAATACACCCAACAGCTTATCCTGTCCTGAGGCATTTGCACTACCTAGAATATTGGTGTGTTTTCCTTCCACTCTTCACATGGCTGGCTGCTGCTGATCTTACATATATCATCCACAAAGAGGCCTTCCCTGCTCGCCCAATCAAAAATAAACTCTTAGGAACTCTCTGACATTTTATCATATTTCCATTCTCTCTATAGCACTTATCACTCTCTGATATTTTTTTACTTTTTTAATGAATACCTGCCTCTCCTTTAGAATGCAAGCACCATGAGAGCTGTGACAAGTTTGTTTGTTCTCTGCCATATCTTTTCAGCGCCTACAAGGTCTACGGGTATCTCAATAAATGTGTGAATAAATGAGTGTGAATAAATGAGCTAAGGAAATAGAAATAACGCTTATCTTACTTAATACTTACCTAACCTAGCACTTATTCTTTGGGTAGAAGGCAAAGATTACACTGCATTTCCTCCAATAATATGTGGAATAATCTGTTTAGGGTAGTGGGCATAGTAAGAAGGTCCGGACAACTAAATTTCCCAGGTTAAACTGTTCACATTCCCTAGTAGGCCATATCTGGTCCTCTCTCTCTTCATTCTCTGTGCATGTAATCCATACCATGGCCCAAACAATATATTAGAAACACCCATATCAAGAATGATAACAATATTTATTGAGTTACCATGTATTAGGCACTCTATTAAATGTTTGTCCACTAGATCATTTAATTCACACAACAACCCTATGAGTTAGGTACCATTATCTCTTTTTACAACTATAAAAGCTCTTAGAAGGTTAAGTGCCCTGTCTAAGGTCACACTAATAAGAAGTAGCAAGTCTGGGTCCTAAAGCATAAAAAGTTTTTGGGTTTTTTTGTGTGCATGTGTGGATATTTCCACCAAAAGTCCATGGTAGCTCAAGTTGAAGATACCCCAAACAGACTCAGATGCCACCTCAGTCACACTCACATGCCGACCAGTCATTTTCCACATTTACTGTTTTACTGAATGACACATCACCCACACATCTGCAAAAACCCAAAACCCTACAAGTCATCCTGGACAATTTTCCTTCAGTTTGTGTTCATAACCAATTAATCCCTAATTCATTATTATTTGATCTGCCAAATAACTCAAAAATCCATTTAAAACATTATGCCTTTTTATAGCTTACTACCTGGTCCCTCACCTCAGTTTATTCCTCACATGGCTATAAATGCCTTTTGAATATGTAATTCTGATCAAGTCATTTCCCTTATAAAATTTTTATTAAACTGCCTACAGGATAAAATCATAATTTCTTAGTATGACACACTGAGTCATTTGTAACCTGGCCCCTCTCCACTCCATATGTCATCTTCTGCCACTTCTCTAAAACAACTCACACTTAGTATAACTGTTCTCCAAATATACAAGGCTCTTTCATTTCTCTGGGCCTCTGCACATTCCATTTTACTTATAACCCCCACCTCCTGGTCTGTCTTGTAAACAAAGAACTCTTAAGATAAAGACCTAGTCAATAATGGGCTATCAAGAACCAGAAAGAAGGAGGTTTTCAGAAGACTAGGACCTATCTTGGTAATAAATTCAAAAACAAAACAGGTATGCTTAATATTAGCTAGATATTAACATTTCAGCTGCTACAGAAACTCCAACAATATATTTT